TTTTGGCCAAAGCCAGATAATATAGATTTAAACAAAAAAAATAAACAACCTAGACTTAAACTACCATATGCAGTTTCAGCAAAACAGTGGAGAGGACATCACTCTAAGATACAACAAGCAAAATTACAAAAGGAAGAAGAATTATGTCTCAAAAGAAAACGCAGAGAAGAAATAGAAAATGCCAAGTTATATGAATCTTCCCAAAAGATAAAAAAAAAACCAAACAGAAAAAAATAATCTAGAAATCTAAAAAACATTCTGATAGTTCTGAAAATGATGCTGATTGTTTATATTGTAATGAGCCATATAGCTTATCTAAAAGTGGAGAGTCCTGGATAAAATGTTGTACCTGTGCAGGATGGGCACATGAGCTTTGTGCTGGGATTGAAAAAACTGTTGCATTTATTTGTGATATGTGTCGTTGAATCTTACCTTAAAAGTCTTGTCATTATGTATTAGGTCACTATTTATTTTTTATTTTAAAGTTTTTATACGGAGTTGTTTTTTAAATATTTTTTAATTGTTAATATTGTTATGCCTTACTATATTACCAGGGTGGTATTTTATAAATTAAGATTTTGTTATGTTATTTGTTTTATATTAAACCATATTTTGTTTTAAATATTTTAAACATGTTATTTTTGTGCCCTAATAATTATTTGCCTTTAAATATTTACAAAATCTTTTAGGTAATACATTTGTACTGTTTTTGGCATATTAACTAAATATTTAAATTCCAAGTGTTCAAATACTGGGTTTAAAATGTTCAAAGACTAGATCAGACTGTTCAATTACTAGTATTTTACAGATTTTTTTAAATAAACTAATTTTGCTGAAATTCTAATAAATGGGTTTATTACAAAGTAAACAGATCAAGAAATCCTATGATCTGAATTAGGAGAATTAGTTATTAAAACTGAATTATCAATGAATTTTGAAGGTCAGCAATTTCTAAACTGCTCAATAGCTGGACTGGTTACCTATTTAAATATTGATACCTATCGTTGTATCTACTAAGGTCCATAATGCCCGTATTTATTTCCTATGAAATGTTTTTATATCATTATGTAGAGATCATATTATACATAATTGAGTGTAAGATTATGAACCTACCAATTTATTATTATAATTTAGGTAATTTGCACAAATATTTTTATCGTTGTTTATATTAAAAATCAAACTAACTCATAGCATATTTTAACATACAAAGAACGGGGCACTAGTGCCCCCCAGTGATATTTTAATGCTACCCACTGGTGGGTGATCGTGCCACACTGCCATTGACTAATACATTCTCATAACGACCGATAGGTACCAATGTCAATTATTATGTATATAATATATGTATAAAGAACATAAAACTATTTTAAGCTTTCGACTCTTGTATAGTTTATCCCATACTATATAATA